ACGTGTCATGTCATGATTATGAAGGTGTCATGTCAGTCTTATGCACACCCCTTCAAGTAAAGTGTTACCAAAAACCTTTTACTTGTTTTTCCCTCAACATAAATGCATATAAATGTTATGATTTAGTTTTTTTTCTTGGAGAATTGGCCCAGCTCAAGGGGGAAACAGTGTGTTGCCTTATGTAATGGAATAGGTTTTGTTAGATTAAGCAGGTGATGATTTCCTGTGATTTGGTATTACACAGAATTTGTTCCCATTGGGGCAGCTGATGGTCATATGGAAAAGTTGGCTTGACTGCTCTTCCTTTGTGCAGTCAGATGAAAAAAGCTGAAATAAGGCAAAGTGACACACAAGTTTCTTCCCAGGCCAGCATCGCACTGTCACGTTTCACACCATGTGAGACTTCAAGGGAGATCCACAGCTTTCATCCAAGAATGCAAAGACTACCACTCCACTCCTTATTAATAGAAGGAACAGTCTAATACTTGGATGGATGTCTCATTTAGGCGACTGTCTTCACCTACACAAATATTAGCCTTGGCTAATTCTGCGTAGACTTGAGCCCAGATTTGTCTGCTGAAAAGAGAAATGTATTTTCCCAAAATAAAAAATAAAAATAATAAAAAAATGATTTCATTCTCTATGTTGGAAACATTAACCAGAAAATACAATATTTCACAATTAATATAAGAGAGTGTATATATAAGGTTTCTAGTTTTGGGAGGAATATTCTTTTTATGCCATATGCTCCACATTGCGAATACACCACAGCAGAAGTGACATGTCGCCAAATGTGGGGGATAAAGATCTGCAGCAGTTTTTTTAAAAGTTAGAAGTGAGTTTTGTTAAGGTCGTTTTCAGCCATTTAATTTGGGTGAGTCTATGTTTTTGTGCACTCCTGCAATCTCACTCAGCTTTGCAGGGTCATTTATAAAGACCTCCTAATACTTTGTTATGTACTTGTCATCCTCCATTAGAGCTAATGGACTTCTATATAGTTCAAGTAAATGTGCTGTACATTGTAGATAGCTTGACAGCGAGTGGCAGTAGATTTAGCAATGTTTACACTACCTTTCAAAAGTTGATGTTAAAAGAAATTAAAACTTTTTTCAGGATGCATTAAATTGATAAAAAAATATATTTTTATCTCTGTTCATCAAAGAATTTTCATCAAAACAGCACGACTGTTTTCAATATTGATAATAAAAAAATGTTTTTGAGCACCAAACTCAGCAAATTAGAATGATTCTAAAGGATCACGTGACACGTTTACTGTATTTCTGATCAAATAAATGCAGCGGTGAGGATAAAATACTTTTTAAAAAACATTTTAAAAAATCATGCCCACGGCCAAACTACATAGTACACATTGGACATCTTTTCATCTCTTAGCAGATGCACGACTTTCTCTTAGGACTTTCCTCTCATAAATCATAAAATCATACAGCATCACACTGATTAATATTTTCCAGAATTCATCGTTTTCCAATCTGCATAGTCTTGCACCAAAATAAGCATATGGGGTCTGCGACAAAAATCTCCTTGCATAACAGACCTACTTTAATCCTCAACACCGCTAATTTGAGAGAACATTCATCACAACATCATGCACACCAAGATCCACTTATTTTGTGACCACTGTGTGGGACTAATTCTTTTAAAGAGGCGACATGCTTGAGTAGAGTGCGTTTGAGTGCTCTGAATGGGGCTGGAGGAGGACATTTCCCACAACCGTAAAATCAGGTCACTCAGGTGTTAGACATTTCTTTGAGAAAAATCCCTGCTCATTTTACATTTACCACTGGCTCCGCCCCTCTGGTACAGAGTTTCCTATGTAAACTGGACACAAAACACTTTTGTCGACCTTTTTCCTGTATATATAAAAAAAAGATTAAAGCATGTTATAAATCACCCTGTTTAACGCTTCACCTGATAATTATTTACACTACCTTTCAAAAGTTGATGTTAAAAGAAATTAAAACTTTTTTCAGGATGCATTAAATTGATAAAAAAATATATTTATATCTCTGTTCATCAAAGAATTTTCATCAAAACAGCACGACTGTTTTCAATATTGATAATAAAAAAATGTTTTTGAGCACCAAACTCAGCAAATTAGAATGATTCTAAAGGATCACGTGACACGTTTACTGTATTTCTGATCAAATAAATGCAGCGGTGAGGATAAAATACTTTTTAAAAAACATTTTAAAAAATCATGCCCACGGCCAAACTACATAGTACACATTGGACATCTTTTCATCTCTTAGCAGATGCACGACTTTCTCTTAGGACTTTCCTCTCATAAATCATAAAATCATACAGCATCACACTGATTAATATTTTCCAGAATTCATCGTTTTCCAATCTGCATAGTCTTGCACCAAAATAAGCATATGGGGTCTGCGACAAAAATCTCCTTGCATAACAGACCTACTTTAATCCTCAACACCGCTAATTTGAGAGAACATTCATCACAACATCATGCACACCAAGATCCTCTTATTTTGTGACCACTGTGTGGGACTAATTATTTTAAAGAGGCGACATGCTTGAGTAGAGTGCGTTTGAGTGCTCTGAATGGGGCTGGAGGAGGACATTTCCCACAACCGTAAAATCAGGTCACTCAGGTGTTAGACATTTCTTTGAGAAAAATCCCTGCTCATTTTACATTTACCACTGGCTCCGCCCCTCTGGTACAGAGTTTCCTATGTAAACTGGACACAAAACACTTTTGTCGACCTTTTTCCTGTATATATAAAAAAAAGATTAAAGCATGTTATAAATCACCGTTTAACACTTCACCTGATAATTA